GTTTGTCTGGTGGAATAGAAATTGATATAGTTCCAAGATCTGGATATTTCTAATTTCGGTCACCGCTAGAATTGTGTGAACCATTTGGAGAAGTGTTTCACAAACCTACCAAAGTAGTTCCCAGGGAACCCAGGGAGGCACATATCCCCTTAAAAAGCAAGACAGTTATTTTAAAGGCTTCCCCAGATTGTCTGAAATTGTCACCAAAGCAAAACTGTCAATGAAATCTCCTTATCCTAATTACAAGAGAAAGGAAAAGAAGGTATGTGTCTTTGGAAAAGAAAAAGCAAAGCTAACAAAATACATCTCAGTTTCATGCCTCTTAATTTAGTCTGGCCCACTGTGTGGAAATGTAAAGGCATTTTCTCTGAAATTGAAATATTAAATGAGTTGTCATTAGCCACTGTGACCTTTTAAAGGTAGAATTCCATTCTATATGTAAAATTCCAAATCAATATGGGCTAATTATTATTACAGTGACACATTAGGGTTGGAATCACATCGTATATTAAACCATGGTTTATTTTACTATTTATTAAATACTGTTAGCCAAGTTCATTTGATATCCTAAATGATTGCAGTTGACATACTGCAATCCTGTGACAAATTCCAAAACACTAAGCAAATCAAACAAAGCAGATTTTGTTTAACAAGGTATATGAACACTGTCTATCAGTCAATATAGACAGCTCCGCATTCACAAAAGCTGATTGTATGACTATAGACCACAATCTATCATTTGATGCAACAATTTACACATAGACACACCCCCTACTGCATATACTCATATAGCTATTATGGATATAGATTTATAACTCATCGATCAAACAGATATAATGCATTGAGGAATGTAACTGAAATCATCCATAAACCATTTTATCTTCTTGAGAATGCCCCAAAATATTGTTCATCTAATAATTTGCAGTTACCTTTGCCCATCCTTAGCATTGTTATTCAATTCTCAATGGAACTTTTGCTCAAGAAAGTATCCATAAGATTACAGCTTTTATAGATTGTTTGAAAAGGAGATATAGATCTAGCAACAGAATGAGTTGACTTCCTTCCTCCCTTGTGTGGGTGTGTGATTGTGTGATTGTGCCAGATCCCAGATTCCTTCTGTTCCAGTTTATTTGAAGCAGGGGGAAGGCAGGATCTGATGTGATTCACTGGTACAGGAAAGGAGTTCAGATTCATTCCCTTTAGAGGAGCCTTTAGCTATTGTTTAATATAGTTTCTTTTATTATAGTAGCTTTAAGAACCTTTTTCTCATAGTATTTCCAGATGTTGTATGGTTTCAAGTACAGAGGAAATATGAGAAAAACATATTACTTAGATCTTAAATAATATTAATGTAAAGGCACATTCCTGTGTATGCTGCTAGTTACTAAGAAACTTACAGTAGAACAGATTCTCTTTCTCATTTAGGAAATGCTATAGATATAGATATCTGAGATATCTGTATGGGATTTCTTGCCTTGCTTCCTTGCCAGGATTAAAATTGCACATCTTTTGTCATCATGAAGCAAAAAACAAAAATAAAATCCCATATGCTCCAAATAGCATTTACTTCACTATGAAATAAATTCTGTTTGGAGCATACAGCTTTTTATTTTTGGCTTTTAAAAGATAACAAAATATGTGCAATTTTAATATTGGTTACTATTCAAAACTTTTAGAGGACCTGCTGCAGAAGCCATGTATGTTAAATCACACAGTAGCCCTTGATGACAATGTGAATGCCAAGACTCAGTACTGCTTAAGAATGTACCAATGTTACAGTAACAATGATGCTTCATTGTAAAAACATTATTTTTGTCAGGGTGATTAATCAGTAATTAACCAGTTACTAAGACCATAACATAACTTTTATAAATTATTAAATGGTTGACATGTCTTTTTAATCATGGATGGTAGCTTCACCCAGGAATAGAAAAAGAAACAGCAAAAGCTGTGCTCTAACATTCTTTAAATTGTAATTTTTAAATTGTGATGTTTTAATCTGTTTTACAAAATTGCAGTATATAGTCTATGATAGTTAATGAATTCTTTAGAACAAGGGTCCCTAACCCCCAGTCCATGGACGAGCATCGGGCAGTGGCATGCTAGAAACCGGACCATGCAAACAAGTGAAGTCCCAGCACATGAAACCACACCAGAAGTGGTATTCAACAGGTTCTGACCAGTTCTGGAGAACTAGTAGCAGAAATTTTGAGTAGTTTGGAGAACTGGTAAATACCACCTCTGACTGTCTCTGGGTCCCCATTTATTCTCTGCCTCCTGAGTCCCAGCTGATCGGGAGGAAATGGGGATTTTGCAGTAACCTTCCCCTAGAGTGGGGTGGGAATGGAAATTTTACAGTATCCTTCCCCTGCCACGCCCACCAAGCCATGCCATGCCATGTCCACCAAGCCATACCCACAGAACCAGTATTAAAAAAATTGAATCCCACCACTGAACCACACTCCCTCCACTTCACAGAGAAATCTGTCTCCACAGAACTAGTCCCTGGTGTCCAAAAGATTGGGGTCCGCTGTTGTAGAACCTAGAAAAATATATAGCTTCAACCTAGATTAATCATTTTATTAGCAAATACTTGAATGGTTAGGGTTATGTGTAATGTGTAATAAGACCATTCTTGGAATTTCTAACTGGAAAAAATAAATGCATTAAGAACAACACTGTTTCCTTTTTAAAAAGTGAATCTTCTCTCCCTCCCTCTCTCTCTCTCTCTCTCTCTCTCTCTCTCTCTCTCTCTCTCTCTCCCCTCTCTGAATTAGCATGTATGAGTTCAGTGTTGTTAATAGGGTTGGCA